ACCCTTCCACTCCCCACTCTCTCTCTCTCTCTCTCTCCATTCTCTCTCTTTCTCTCCCCACTTGCACCCTTCCTCTCCCACCACACACTCTCTCTCCCCACTCACTCTCTTTCTCTCCCCACTCTCTCCCCCTCCTCCCTCCCTCCCCACTCTCTCCCTCTCTCTTTATTTATTTCTTGTCCGTCTGACTAAGTTACAATTTATCCTCGTAAAATAAATTATATATATGCCTAATACATTGATGTTTCATAGTTTTTTACAATAAAAATAATTAGGAAAATACTTATTCTATAATAAAGAGAATATTTCTAGTGTTATTTTTAAATAAATTATAAAATGTTTATTCTTGATATTTTTACTTTAAAATGGATTTAGCAGAAATGTTTATTTATGCAAAAAAATGAATGCAATTTAAATTTATGCGGGCGATAACTGTACGCAACAGAAAAAAAAACTGCTTCCCAGTTCACAATTGCATGGATCATTGTGTTGTTTGTTTGCGTATTTAATTAAGAAGAAGTTTATATGCTTGTAGAACAATAATTATATGTTTACTAACATTCAAGAAAGATGATATGTCAGCTTGAAATCCCAGTTGAATATTATTTGTTGTACCGTTATGAGAAGTATCTAAATTATCCACGTGCTGAAAGGAGGTCTTTAAAATATTCTTTATTTGATCAAGTATGTAATAAGGGTTTGATATTCACTTTCCCTTTCTCTTGTATGCATTCAGTTTACTCATATTTTATATATTAATAATTTTTTCCTGTTAAGATATCGTGTCGTTGCGTTGAATGTTAGCCAAAATGCATTTGCATCATGACTCCCTCGTTGTTCTACGCATTACGTGGTTTCATATTTTCTCACTGCAGATGAATGTTCCTTTGACGCTTTATTCAAATGCGGACTGTTAGTAAAATCTACATGTAACCTTTACTTGTTGCATGGTTCTACTCTACTAACCATAGCTGTTGAATGGATAGTGTTAAATGATTTACCGTTGGGCCATCAGTGTAATTTGAGTAAATGTTCACCTTATAACAGGCCTTAGCCATGCTTCTGGGCAAATTACAATTATTCCGTTAAGCAGTAGAACCATTTAACAAAAGAAGAGAGCCATGCAAAATGCGCGCTTAAAAATTAATTGTTACAAGTTTGCCGTGTCGCGCAAGGCGCCCTCCTCAAGCCATGTACCATTCATTATAGAGATACAATTTATAAATCGTAATGAATTTAAAACAACCTGCAATACAATGCACATATGCATTATGTAAATAAAATCCTTATAAGAGGATTTTCGGTGAAAGGAAAACGAAGTTTCACTTTTATCCTAAAGATTCACTTTCATCCAAAAACCCTTTTATATTTTTAAACCTCGTTTCAGTCAGCAAGAATGCTTAATTTGTTTATAGAAAAAGATGTACATGGCCAGAAGGGAATTTTTTTTCTATAGGCTACTAGTAAATTTAAAGAGTGGGTTACAACCCCGTAACGCCTTCAAATTAAACTCGCCACTATAGATAGACTTATACGAATCTCGCATGGTACTTGATTTTGATACAATGTGTAAGTTACAATACTTTTTGTACAGTTCTATATTTTTTCTATATTTTTTGCACACGCAACTTCAAAAGTGCTAATATTACCAATCATACACAGGAAAAAAAATTATGTAAATAAGACTAAGAAGCTTTTTTTTATAATGCAACATTCTGGTTTTTTTTCTATTGGTATTTTTTTTAACATGTAACTAGAAAGGGGAAAGACGAAACTACCGTGTACAGACTTGTGTCAATTCTTGGTATACCAAACACCTCTTTTTTTAAGCAATCAATTTTTTTTATGTAAAAAGCCTCATTTTGTTAAAGATTTTGTTGACACTATTAAAAAACAAAAGACATCGTTAAAGATTATGATCTACAGTAATCACTTTTTGTGCCCATGATATCGAAGGTCAAAGGTATGTTGATTTACACAATTTATTTTTTTCCAAAATGTAATCTTCCCTATACCTTAATGAGAAGTTTTAGACTTTATTCATAGAAATTAATTATAAAATAAAAGGTATTTACGAGATCGAATTTTCTTATCAATCTTCCATTTTTTTCACTAAAATTTATTTAGGTAGGATTCTAAAACGTTAACCTTTCTTATAACTTCTAAAGAAAAAACGAAGGCTATACATGTATTTTTATTTCTTGCACATTATTTTCCCAGAATAAAATCAAAGAGGATTACAATTATGGAAGCTATACATTTTTTTATTTATAGGTTTCTCTTTCTTAAATCTATCATCCCTCAAAACGATTTATTTCTAAAGTTTTAACTAAAGGTAACTATTTTGCGGAGCAAAAATTAAAAACTTAATTTAAAAATCCTTTTAAAAGGTAATAGATTAGAATAAATCCTGTTTTCAGTTGAGAAATATAATTAAAATCTATTATTAATTATACATTTTTTCATCATTTACAAATTTTCCAGTGTTGACAGATCTATGGGTATATGGGAGCGTAGCGGGAACGACAACTCTGGATAGAGAATGACCCGCCGATTTACAGGGAAACAAAATGACCTTTCGTAACAAAAGAGCACACTAAGGGAGATAATTAATCTCGAAACTTGCGTATTATAGTAGACTTGTTGCATTACATGCATATTATATATACATACATATATAAAACTATTCAATTCTTTATATTATGTGTTTTATATATTAAATATATACATGCAAGCTGTTAAGGAGTTCTGATCTTGATAGCATCTTTATAGCGAGCGCAGCGAGCGGCGCGAAGCGCCGCTCGTCACTGCGAGCCCTTAAAGCAACGCCTGGGCGAAGAGAAAATTCGGACTTTGCACATTGATCCAAATGATTTTTTTCCGCAGTTACCTGTGGTCCCATAATGCTTAGCGGAATGCATCTCGTCGCAAACTACATTCTCGCGGTAGCAACAAAAATATTCAACAAAAAAAATCACCTTGATTTAATGGATATACATGTATAGCAGACAGATAGTAGATTAAACGTTTTTGATTAAAATTAGCACTGTTCAAACTTCGTTTTGGTAATGCACATACGAAGTGCGACGTCAGAGTCTAGACGTTGCAAATATCACGTGCGGTTTGACGAGCCCGGTTTTAATTAAAACTGAAAGGTATCTGCGCTCGCCCTAACGGTCACACCGTCAACATATTAACATGGGCAAGAAAGAAAGATAAATCAGATCATTACACGACTATTTCTATAAAGTACATATATTAGAAAGTGATGAGGGTATTAAACCCTACCCTTTTTGGGACTAAGGACATTTTAGAGGAAGAAAAATCAGTTACCTGGAAAAATTCAATGGACATTTTAACGGATATATTGATTAATTAATTACTCAGTAATCAACTCTTAGACTAACGGAGGCTTCAATGGCACAGGTAAACAATCAAAACCCAACTCATATTCATTCAGGGAAATATACGAGAACACGGTAAAAATGATGGTTTGCCTAAAACCAGACCCTGTTTCTTAGAAATTTTCAAAGAAAAACGACAAACCTCGTATTCGAACTAAGAGTTATTCCCCGACCATTCTCAAAGTCATACTCCTGTCTACCTGTTTGGTGAGCTGCAGACTAATAGCGGAAGAGAAATATACATGTATATATTTAACTGGATTTTCCGTTTAAATGTCCGCATCCTGTTTCGAATTCCACTAAAATGTCCTACAGATCTTCCCCTAACATGTCCACATATTTTCCCGCTACAAAGTTCATATTTATTCGGTAAAACGTCTTGTCAATCCGCTAAATTGTCCAACGCCGTCCTTTTATAGTTCTCAACAAATGTCCCGCAACTGTCACTGTAAAATTAAGTAAATAATTAAGTAATTCGCCGTCCAAGAATAAGTAAAGATTTGGAACGTATGCCAAGAAGAATGATTGATAAAACGTGCATGTATATAAATTCAAAATAAAAGTTCAAAATAATATTCGCAAAAAGAGTCTATTTTGCATGTTGATACTATTCTAAATTTGAATTACACTGACAAATTATAGACGATGTTCTTATGAAGATTTTTTAAACATATTTCTTATAATATTTCTGAAAATAATTTGATCCCTAATTAATGGTTAGAACCACACTTTGATAAATTAAAGTGTATTCAAAGTATTCGATCATATGTACATGTAAAATATCTGTCACTGAGTTCGAAAATTTGAGTATTTTTTAAAATATACACCTACTTTTTAAATAGCCTGCACAGTCATACTAAAAACAACATTTTCCTTTTTGAGAATCCTGCTTGCTTTGGTGATTTGTTTGCTGCTTGAACCGTGTTTGTCGAAGGTCGTTTAACTAAATGCATTCCGGGTTGTATCATGCTTAAAAAATAGACTGGTTCTATTTCTAGACATTCTGCTTTAGATAAGACCGTTTGAGAATTTCAGATGGAACCAAATACCACAGGACCTTGCTGCTATTGGCGAACCTTACTACAATGGATTGGGGCATAATACAGGCCCGTAGAACGCTGGGGGGGGGGGGCAGTGGGGGCCCCATCACACTTTTTTCTGAGTAATTTGCTGTAGTAAAATTTCCTTCAGATGCTGGTTCCCCCCCCCCAGTTTTTGATGTACGTCCCCCCCCCAACACACACAAACACACTTTTTTCTTCTTGTCAGATTTTTTTCAGGCTTTGGGCCTGTAATATACTAATAGGTTTACATTTGGGACTTAATTAAATTATATGCTAGTACATATGATGTCGTCTATATATAAATGAAATTTTTACTTTTTGACATTAAACTTCATAAAACCAAAACTAGGAGGTTGACTTAGAGTAGGACCTAATATTTAAATCTTAACATGCCGGAAGTGGAATTTGTAAAAGGTCACCTCGATAGAGACAAGAAAAAGTACATTAATCATTAAAAATATCAAATAAAGACTCTTTATAAAGTGTTTTCTTTCTTTTGTTAAATACATTGCAAAAGAACAGGAAGAAGAGTGTCGAAGTAAAACAAGTTTTTTTTTGTTTGCCATTTTTTTTTAAGTGGAATGATTGTGCGGCTACTCTTCTTCGTCCTCTTCCTATTTGAGTGCCAATGTCGAGTGGTGAGACCTCACCAGAACTGTGTTAAGAATGTCTGTTACTTTGATTTTGATGTTGATTATAAGTTTACCATGATGTGGTACAACTACACCAATACTCTCGATCCGGAGTTTTATCCTGTCGTAATGAAAAACGGAGTCCTTCATAGAAGAATTACAAGTGATACTTGTGGAGATACGCTCATTCCGCTAACATTAGAAGGTAAATATTTACCTAGAATACTTTTTAAAGTAAATTAACTTTGTTGCTGGGAGGTTAATTACTATAACGCACATTTAACCTAAAATAAGTTAAATTTTAAAGTAGTGGAAATGGAAATAAAACTGTCGGTTCATTTTAACAACTTTCAAGTAAATGGACCCTATTTTTTTATTTTTGTTTTTTAGTTGACAGAAAATATTAAATGTTCTCCTATAATGTGTGCCTTTGCTTCAAATAATTTTAAAAGGGAAGTGATATTTAAGTTCCGGACAGAACAGAATATGCTTTTGTGTTTCAACAAAAAGCGTCTTGTTTGGTTCCAGAGAGTTATATCTATAAAAAGTATATCATACTTATCGAATTTAAAACACAATGAGAAATATACTACGTTCCAAAAAAAAAAAAAATTAAATAAAATAAAAAATAATAATAATAAAAAAAAATAAATAAAAAAAAAAGTATGCTTTAATGCAGTTGTTAATCAAGATGTTTGAAAGACTATCTGATTCTGTATACTTGACAGAGAACAGTATGCTTATATTTTAAATTATTTATTTTTTGAAAAAACTTGTTTGCAAAATAATCGATGTTGGGGGGGGGGGGGAGGGTTAAGTACTAATTAAGGAAAAATCGGAAAAGATAAGTTTTCTTTCACTTTAAAAATTTCAGTGTATACTTATCAATTTTGAACAAATAAATTTTATTTTAAAAAAATTGGCTTTTCATACTATTATACTCTGATTGTAGAAAAAAATCTGCAAAAACATAAATTTTGACGAACAATTTAATCAATAATTAGTGTCCTAATCTTGGCAGATAAAGTTTCTATGGATTATTATCATAACTATGGATGCTAAATCTAGACAGTTTCAAATCTAACAAAAAATAGATAAATATATGAATAAATAAATAAATAATAAATGAATGAATAAATATATAAATATATAAAACCACCATAGAAATAAACCATCATAGAAGAATCTTGGAACGGTATAAAAGGCTTATCCATTTTAAAGACAATCTTAATAAATCTTTTATTAAATAAACGCAAAGCAAGCGTATTGTCATTATTTATTTTATGATGGAATAATAAGTGATATTTTGACAATGACCGCTGTTGACAATGACCGCTGAAAACATTTAAATCATGAAACTTAATTATTCATCCCATTAATTAAAACAAATAGGACATAATTTATCCGCTTTTCTGTGAAAAGTTCATTGTGACATTGTGAAATTAATTTCGGTCATAGATTTTTCATGTCCTTGAAAGCTAGGCTCGTGTGAACGTGAAATGTTTAGTTTTCTGTATAAAAATAATAATGATATTTACGCAAAAGTGTGTTCTAGCCTCAAAGCCCCATGTTCACTGTTAGAACGCTGTGTTCTAAAGAGAAAATATTATGCAATCAAACCTTTTACTCACGATTACAAATTTTCTTAATGCTTTTATATATGGCTACTCTTAAATGCATCTATAGAAAAGAGAAGATACAAATATTATTCTTTAAATAAGAATTTTATATTTTCAAATAGAGGAAAAATGTATTGCACTTTTATCATTCTTAATTCGACTACATTTCTACTCAATATAATGTAAAAAAAAAAAAGAAAATAAAAAAGAAAAAAATCATACATTAGAATCAAGTATTATTTTTTAGAACTCTATAAGGGGGAAAAGGAGAACCTGTGTTGAAAATTGCCAAGATTGGTTTCTTGATATTATGAATAAAAAAATCGACTACTTCAATGACAAAATTGTTAATTTAATTTTTTTTTAAGTCATTTCCGACAAAAGAAATTGATTTCATAGCTTCAGATAAAATGTTGTATACTATCCCACTGGTATGATTAAAATTAGATGCTAAATATGTTAATTTTTTTTCATAACATCTTATTATATACTAGTATTCCTTTGATAATTATTATTATTTTTTTAATGAGTAAAAATTGTCTCTCCAGGAAACAACATTACATAATTATAAGGCAGCAATTTATATGATAAAAGATCATCAACCACGTTACCTGTTCAGCAATGACAATTAGAAAACATAAATTTTAGAAATTCATTTTTTTTTATTTTGCTCATTGTTTATTGCCTATTGCCGCATGGAGCCGAACCTTAAATGATGCTTGGAAATGTAATAAAAAGAAAATGAAACAAACAATTTCAAAAGAAAACGATATTTCAAAACAGATTATTGATATTTATAATATCTGTTATTCCTTTTTATGCATCTTATTTGATTTTATAAGGCATGCAATGTAGTCTTCATATGAAAGTAATTTTGGTGTGGTCATAACTAACTATCATTAGAATTTCGAAATTTACCATTAGAATTTTAATCCATTCTTGGTATTGTTAGAAAGTCTTCATTATTTCATATTCTTTTGAAGTGCCTCGCCTACGTTGAAATCACGTTACCGATAGTTTGTAATTTTATCGGCCATCAACTATCTACAACCAACACAAAAATTGATAAGATGTAAATTTCTAAGCAATACTGGCTAGATACAGGTTTAACAGCTAAATTTGTTTGTGATTAGCGACTTACAAATAAATAAATAAATAAATACATATTAAATAAAATAAAAACAAAAACAAACAAACAATCAAACAATACTGAAAAAAGATCAATAAAATGCAAGATGTAACCCCATAGGAGCTTATTATACAATATTAATACGTGTAGTATTTTTTTTCCTTTTGATAGAATTCAAACACAGTGTGAGTCCCGGGGATGGAAAGTATAGAATGGTTTATGCTATCAATGGCCAGATTCCGGGCCCAGATGTTGTTGTATTCGAGGATCAAATTGTAAGTATCAAAAACTGTCCAAGACCATCTTCAGAGAAAGTAAGATTAAAAAAATCTTTTAAAATTCTCACCTCTTTCACATCACTATTTCCAAATCGAAAACATTTGCGTATTCTTGACATTGAAAGTATCGTGTGAGGTTGTGGAGTCGCAGTGGGGTTAAGCACAACTGTTCTAATATTGCCACTTTTGACATACATGTAGCCAATCTTTATTAAGGTTAGATAATTATAAAACATAATTGGGAGTCAATATCATGTTTTAAAATTTTTTTTAAATATTTTCAAAAAATGTCTTTTTGCTAGAATAATTAAACCTCATTCTTTTTTTCTATTTTACACGTAAGTAGGCATACATGTAACGACTTCATTTACAAAATTTGAAGTATGTAATAATGTTAAAGTATTTGTATTAAAATGGAATCCTAAATAAATAATCATGTCTAGATTCACGTATTTCAAATCAAATGATGCCCTTTTCAAATGTCATTGTGAGCCCAATGGATGTTTTGCCATTTTGGCAATAGAGTTTTAATTCTAGGTAACATGTTAAAGACTTTTCCTTATCGTTAGCGAACCGTGATGAATTATGGTTAATGAAGAAAGGAAATGCCTAGTAAGATAGTTTAAAATATATTTATTTATTACAAATGAAATGGATTGAACAGCAGGCATAATGCCTATAATTGTTCTCTCCATAGGTCAAGGTACATATAACAATTATTGGTACATTAAACATTGAAAAGCAGTATGTAAAATAGATCATTAATTGGTACATATATAAAGTGAATCCACAGAGAGAGAGAGAGAGAGAGAGAGAGAGAGAGAGAGAGAGAGCATAAAAACATAATAAAGTTGACTCAGAGTGGGAAAAATTCCTTAATATGCCTAAAATGAGATAATATTTTTCCTAGCATATCATAATAAACTAAGATTTCAGTGAAAACCTTTTTGACTTTCTTATAAAGGCATGTACATGATCAAAAAATGAAAAGTTGTCTTCTCAACATAAAGAATCAGCACCATATAGTATATTATCTATATTAATTGGTATGCCATTCTCATTCATATATTTAATCAGCATCTGTCTATGAAGAACATATTGTGGACAATACATGAAAAAATGTAATGAATCTTCAGTTTGGTATCCACAGTTTGACATTTTGGTGAATCATTAAGGTGGTCCTCAAAAAGGTCAGCATTAAGGTTACTACATTTATTTCTCAACTGGCAATGTCGTATACTTTCAATTCTGTTCCCATAATATTATTGTAAAACATGACTTTATTTTTCTGGATGAGATTGGTACATAGAGGGTGTAGGTTGATCCTTTTTTTTTTGAAATTTTGCAATGCAGGGGAACTTCCACAATCATCAGTTAAATTATTTTTTAAGGATATTATGACTGGTATATAGTAAGACGAATGATTGGGATACGATATGAGTTTGGGTTGCGATAATTATAATTATGCTGAATTAGCATACATCCCTCGAGCATATTATACATGTAATCAGGGGTAAGGTAATTAAGAATTTTATACATCAGTGTGAGCTTATGATTTTCCCTTCTTGAACTTAAGGTTTCCCATCCCAACTTTTTATATAGGTTAGTTTTGGATGTATTACACCTAATGCCCTTCATTATTCTTTCAGCTTTCACCTGAACACTTTCCAGTAATTTAGATTGTTTATCAGTGCAATATTAATTATCCCGTACCACATCCCCATATACTGCAACTGGTCGAACAAATGATAGACATATTTTGATTAATGAGTCCCTTTTTTAATTTTGTATTTAAGTGTACGCAATATATTTAGTCGTAAACAAGCTTTCTCATGAATTGTTGTAATATGTTCGGACCCCCCCCCCCCCACCCCCACCCCCATTAGACTGTAACATCAACCCTAGGTGACAGTGACCTTGATTCTGAAAAATATAATATTCATTGTGTTCCCAAATGAGATATTTGGGTGTACTCGTTGAGTTCTAGTAAAATTAACATTTAGTGTCTTATTAGGGTCACATTCAACTAGCCGTTGATGAGACCACTGCCTTATTTTCTCAAGATCATCAGTAAGAAATACTGCAGGCTGACTATGTCAGCATCTACAATAACAAACAAGGATGTGTCATTATTTGATTTTGTATGGTTTAAGTAATATCATTGATATAAATACGAAAAAGAAATGGACCTAAAACGGACCCTTGTGGGACTCCAGCATTAACGCTTTCCAATCCAGAGGGGTATCCTTCTAACACTACCTTCTGGACTCTATCACAGAGAAAATTCTCAATTCAACCTAAGATATCACTTGTTAAACCATCATGTTTGAACAATTTAATTAAATATTAATGATGTGTTTAATTATATATAGATTTCTGTTCTTGTACACAATCACCTTAAAACGGAAGGTGTGACTGTTCATTGGCATGGCATGGTGCACAGAGGTACACCTTTTATGGATGGGGTTGATATGGTAACTCAGTGCCCAATTTTACCAGGACAAACATTTGAGTACAGGTACGGGTAATTTTCAGACCTTACACAATCCCTTGTAATGCTTGAAAATTTTATACACAGAAGAAATAAAAAAAAAAACAGAAGAAGAGCGAGAAAAACAAGATGTGTTTGTGAAACACTGATGCTCCCGTATGGCAGCTTATGGCGAAGGTTAAAGTTTCTAAAATGCAAGTCAAAATCCAGGCCAAAAGATAAAAAAATGTTGGTACCCAAAGAAAGGTCTTGTCTCGAGGAATATACCTATGAAATTTGAAAGACGTAGATGCAACTGTTCAAAAGTTATGGCGAAGGTTAAAGTTTTTTAAAAGTAAGTAAAACGTCAAGGTCAAAGTGGTTGGTGTCCAAAGGAAGGACTTGTCACAAGAATTACATATGTGAAGTATGAAAGCCCTAGCACCAACCATTCAAAAGTTATGCCAAGGTTAAAGTTTTTCAAAAGTAGGTCAAACTCCTATGTCAAAGTCAAAGGATCAAAGTGGTTGGTATCCAAAGGAAGGTCTTGTCATAAGGATTACATAAGTGAAGTATGAAATCCCTAGCATCAACCATTCAAAAGTTATGACCAAGGTTAAAGTTTTTCAAAAGGAGGTCAAAGTCAAAGGTCAAAGTGGTTGGTATCCAAAAAAGGACTTGTCACAAGGATTACATATGTGAAGTATGAAAGCCCTAGCTCCAATCATTCAAAAGTTATGGCCAAGGTTAAAGTTTTTCAAAAGTAGGTCAAACTCCTAGGTCAAGGTCAAAAGGTCAAAGTGGTTGATGTCCGAAGGAAGGACTTGTCACAAAGAATATACATGGGAAGTTTGAAATCCCAAGCACCAACTGTTCAGAAGTTATGGCCAAGGTAAAGGTCTCATAAAATTTTGCAAAAGAGGGTCAAACTCCAAGGTCAGGGTCAAAAGGTCAAATATGATGGTACCCAAAGAAAGGTCTTGTCACAAGGAATACACATGTGAAATATGAAAGTCATAGCTCCAACCAATCAAAAGTTATGGGCAAGTTTAAAGTTGACAACAGACAGACAGACAAACGGACAAACAGACAGACAGGACAAAAACAATATACCCCCCGGGATCTTTCGATCCGTGGGCATAAAAACCAAAACAGAACGGAAGCAAGATGTGTTTGTGAAACATTGATGCCCCCGTATGACAGCTTATGGCGAAGGTTAAAGTTTCTCAGATGCAAGTCAAAATCCAGGCCAAAAGGTAAAAAAATGTTGATACCTAAAGAAAGGTCTTGTCTCGTGGAATATTCCTGTGAAATTTGAAAGACCTAGCTGCAACTGTTCAAAAGTTATGGCGAAGGTTAAAGTTTTTTAAATAAAAGTCAAACGTCAAGGTCAAGGTCAAAGTTGTTGGTACCCAAAGGAAGGACTTGTCAAAAGGATTACATATGTTAGAATGAAAGCCCTAGCACCAACCATTCAAAAGTTATGGCCAAGGTTAAAGTTTTTCCAAAAGGAGGTCAAATTCCTAGGTCAAGGTCAAAAGGTCTAAGTGGTTGGTATCCAAAAAAAGGTCTTGTCACATGGATTACATATGTGAAGTATGAAAGCCCTAGGATTAACCATTCAAAAGTTATGGCCAAGGTTAAAGTTTTTCAAAATTAGGTCAAATTCCAAGGTCAAGGTTAAAAGGTCAAAGTGGTTGGTATCCAAAAAAAAGTCTTATCACAAGGATGACATATGCGAAGTATGGAAGCCCTAGCTCCAACCATTCAAAAGTTATGGCCCAGGTTAAAGTTTTTCAAAAATAGGTCAAACTCCTAGGTCAAGGTCAAAAGGTCAAATATGATGGTACCCAAAGAAAGGTCTTGTCACAAGGAATACACATGTGAAATATGAAGGTTATAGCTCCAACCAATCAAAAATTATGGGCAAGGTTAAAGTTCACAACAGACAAACAGACCAACAGACAAACAGACAGACAGGACATAAACAATATACCCCGGGGATATTCCGATCCGGGGGCATAAAAAAAGCAACGATATAGATCTAAATAAGAGTTTAGTTTCATACTGTCGAATTAGATTTTTAAGATTCTAAGATGAAATAGCTGCATTTGAAGGGTTATGTTTCTTTTTATATTTTTGCAAATCATTTTTCTCTAAAGGACAGAAGCTACAAAAAATTGTTTTCAAAACACATAAACAACTAAATACATGTCCATATTCATCTGAGTAAAATGAATAAGTTTAGCCGCATAAAGTTTTATTGTTTATTCAAAGTTTCTCAGTAATATATCTATACAGTGTTAAAAAATGTATGTTGATGAAAGGGAGTTATTTCAACACAATAGAGGGTCTACAAGTTCTTAATATTATAAAGATTTGATATATCCATCCTTTGCAATGAAAAAAAGTACACACATATAAAACCGATCCATGCATCCAATTTTTTGTCGGTAGCCTTAATCACCAACCAAAGACAGTAGTACATTCAATCTTTTTTTATGCCCCCGTATCGAAGATTCGGGGGTATATAGTTTCTGCCCTGTCCGTCCGTCTATCTGTCTGTCTGTCTGTTTGTTTTTCTATTTGTCTGTTTGTCCGCAAAATCTTTAACATTGCCCATAACTTTTGATTGGTTGGAGCTATGGCTTTTATATTTCACATGTGTATTTCTTGTGACAAGACCTTTCTTTGGGTACCACCATATTTGACCTTTTGACCTTGACCTTTGAGTTTGACCCAGTTTTGCAAAATTTTATCCAACTTTAACCTCGGCCATAACTTTTGAACAATTGGTGCTAGGGCTTTCATACTTTACATATGTAATCCTTGTGACAAGACCTTCCTTTGGATACCAACAATTGTAATCCAGTGACCTTGACCTTGGAGTTTGACCTTCTTTTGAAAAACTTAAACATTGGTCATAGCTTTTGAACGATTGGTGCTTCAGTTTTCATATTTCACTTGTAAATTTCTTGTGAGAAGGCCTTTCCTTAGGCACCATTAATTTTTACCATTTGACCTTGACCTTGATGTTTGACTTACTTTTGAAAAAAAATCAATCTTTTCTATATCTATCCAATGGTTGCTGCTAGGGCTTTCATATTTCACAGGTATATTCCTCGAGACAAGACCTTACTTTGGGTACCAACATATTTGATTTGCATTTGAGAAAGTTTAACCTTTGCTATAAGTTGCCATTCGGGGGCATCAGTGTTTCACAAACACATCTTGTTTCCATTTTGCAATATGAATAACCATTTGTTGATAAGGTACAATGTACATATACAGTGCTGCTACCTATGAAGTTGACATTTTTATCCTATTCTAAGTAAATCCCGCATACAATAATCTAAAAATTGCAATTTTTATAGTATAATTCAATCATTACAAAGCCTTTTGGTACCATTATTCATGCTGCATGTGTGAGAAGGAGAAATCTTTGGCGACGACACACAAACCTCAATTGTTGAAGCTCCTTTTTCTTTCATTCCCATTTTAACGTACTAAATTGCAAAATTCCTAACTCTTTAAGGTATATTTACCGCTACAGACCAATCTTAAAAAAAAGAGAGATTATAATTATACGATGTACGGTATATTATAAGGCAATGAGCAACGGTCAAAAAGATTTCCAAAAAAGAAATGAATAATAATAATAAAAAAATAAATAAATGTATTTCCATTTACAGATTTGTCGCCTCCCCTGTAGGCACACACTGGTATCATGCACATACTAATAGCATGAGAAATGACGGATTGGCAGGTGCCCTTATTGTATTGCCAAGAATAAGACCAGCTATTGTAAGTAATTCCTATGAATATACAAATGAATAAAAAGTATAATTAAAAATTATCAGTACATTTTATGACATTTGCATAAAAAAATGATATTTTTATCAGTCATATTGAATATCACAATCGGGTGAATTTATCTTACTAGAAATTTTTTTTTGTTTAATAAAACAATGTACATGTAATGCCACATGTACAAATAAAAAAGCTGACCTTGATGCCTAGCAAAATAGGAAGGTTTAATGTCAAGATAATTAATTGAACTTCATGTGACATGTTATTAGTACATAGGCGTCGGAACTGGGGGGGGGGGGGGCTTAGCCCCCCCCCACTTTTTTTTTGCAAAGATAGACATAATATAGGCATTGAACATTGAGGCGTAGCTTTAGCCCCCCCCCCCCCCCACACACACACACTTTCAACAGGCACGTTGCAGTGTTGTCAAAGAAGGGTAAGTGGTAGTGTTTGAAAATGAATTTGGTACTGAAAGAAGTTCGATCCTACTCCCTCCCCCCCCCCCTCCTCCACGAAATAGAATTTTTGGGTTTGGACAATGGGACAATGGACATTTCCTTTTTGCTCGTCAAGTTCTTTTCAGGTTTTGAATTTTTTTCTCTTTCAATTAGCCCCCCCCCCCCCCGCCACTTTCAATTTGCTTGCGACGCGAATGTTGTATATATACTATGTAAACTTATGTATGTATACTATGCAAAGTATATATTTCTCATACTCCTCCCACCCCCATCCCCCAATAAAAAAATGAGCACCCCTAATTTTAAACAAATCTTATTTTTTTTCAATAATTTTCGCTATCTTTGAAGCCTCTCTTTGTAATTTTTCTTAGATACCCAAATAAATTCGTTAGGACTTATTTAAAATCATTTCCTATGTATGTGTAACAAACATTTTTTGGTTATCCAAGAGACGAATCTCACTGTCACAAATGCAGATGATAGTGAGATTTTTTCATAAAAAATGTTCAACGTTGTATAAAGCTTCGAAAAAGAAACATTGATCTCAGACGGACTAGTTGTTTGGCTCAAACTTCGAGACCAGAAGAACCGGGTTTGACTTTCGATCCTTATTCCTTGTCTTAGGTTAATTAAAAGTAGTGTGTGTTCCTTCACGATGTGCCAGCAGTGAAAGAAGTGAAAGCCATGGAGCTTTTGATATGACCTTAAAATAGAGGTTTTGTGTACGATTGGTGCTTGCACGATAAGAAACTTCACTGTTGCAAATGTAAACGACATGCATTGGTTAAAATATAAGGCACTTCAACCTAAAGCTGATGAGATCTATGCTTGAGTGAAAAATTATCAAATGGAAAATAAAATAACATACAATAAATCGAAAGAAAAAAATCCTGGCCAAATGATTTATATCATTTCAATGAAATATGTACTTATTATATGAATATATGATAATACTTAGAGGTTTGGAATGTGATTATCTAATTTATTCATTTATTACAGAAAGAAAATTAGTGTGAAGTAACAATTTAATATATGATAGTCAATTGTACATGTACATAGGACTGCAGTTACATTACATTAAAAACAATGCAATATAATAAACAAAATATAAAGCAAGAAAGATGCATGATACCTTTAAAATTTACTTTCTCACAAAATATCAGTATGCTTGAAAGAGAATCTACATCACTGTTTAGCAAACTGGCTATAAATCAGATTTTCTTCATTTACAGAAGATCCCACATAATCCGATTCCGGAAGTAGATGCAGAATTTTCAATAGTTTTACAAGAGTGGACAAAAAGGATGACTCAAGAAAAGTTTCTTTCTACAAAAGGATTAGGACTGTAAGATATATCGGACTATAATTATTATTACTGTCTTTATATAATTAATCAACGAGAGTTTGATTGATTAAACATGAAGCTTCATAAATAACTTGATAATGTAATGACATTTGATAAATTTATTTATATTTGCATATGATGATGAGAACTTTTTTTGAGCTAGTATTTAAAAGTAATTATAAGTACCAGAGGAAGCATGCGAAAAAGGACAGATGCATTTAATATTGAAGGTTTGAATACTCTAACACAAATAATTCCATTAAGTCAGGTAGGATCTGCCTCACTTTTGTATTGGATGGAATATAAGTAAGAAATATTATGTCGATCTTCCTATCTACTACCAAAGAAACGAAGAATTTCAATATAAAATAGACGGCACAATTACATGTAAGAAAGGGATGGCGATATTGAAAACAAATGAATTTTAATTTGAGAAACTCCTAGCTTTATTTTTAATCGTCGTTGCTTTGTTATCTCTTTGTAATGAATTATGAAACTTTGTATTTTATGTGAAGGATGTTCTAAAAATACACAGCCTGGTCTCATATATTTAAAATTTCAATAAAGGAAAATAAGATGTTCACTTTTAAATTAAGAATTATCAGTCTGAGTGCGAACATACCTGCTTCTGCAGTTTTCAAACAAGCTCCCATTCTAGATCAATATATTGCGATCTTTTTTTGTCATCATTCCCTATACAGTCGACTCTTGTTAGTCCAGACTCGAATATTCGCAAGCAAATCCGGATTATTGACGCGTCCGGATTACTGAAAATAACTCTTTAAGTAAGTATTGGGAGACATAAATATAAAAATTTTAGTTTCCTTTAAATCTCGTATGAAAGGTGAAACGTCCGGTTTTTTGAGGTCCGGATTAGTGAAGATTCACTGTATTGTAATTATTACGTTACTGTTGATATCTTTTAAAAACGTGTCTTCATCACACGTTGTAGTATATATATATATATATATATATATATATATATATATATATATATATATATATATATATATATATATATATATATATATATATATATATATATAGTTCATAAATATATCTAGATAAATATTGAACATTATTAAAAAATTGTCAAAATTGTTAGCATATTATTTTTAAAAATACACCCATAAATGAACTTTGTTATTAAATCAAATCTCTTTCTTTATGCTAAAAGCATTCTATTCTGTCGACGTGGAAATATTTTTTTCATGACGCCCCCTTCAGTAATATTGCATCTAATGCCCTTTTTTTATCCGTTATTATTACATGTGTGCAAAAATCTATACTAATGTTAATACTTTTTTATAAAGTTTGGATGAGTACGACGGAGCTTGTCTACCACCGGTTGTGCGTCCAGACGGATCTGCTAACAGATACCAATTACACATGGGCCTCGTGAATGGTCTTGGTATGTTTGTGTACAATTCGGTTTATCTATGACATTTTATAAATTCTTTTTTTCCCTGGGTGACTCAGAGTTTTCCTTTCAAATCTCAAAAAGCTCATAAAATTACCAACTTGCAAATACAGACAATAATATCATGCTACAGATAATGATTAGTGAAGTACATGTAATATGAGGAAAATTTATTGTATATTTTAATTATCATTAATGTTATCAAATTGTTGTGCAAAAAGCGTCAATTTCGGAAATGTATATAGATTTTTTAAATGCTTTTAACTTCATTTTGAAATATAAGAATGAGATTTATTACGTTCCTAATCATGCAATATACTTCCCAAAATATAAAATAGAATGGTAAAATAGTGCAACACTTTTGGTATAACGATTTTCACATTTCGATGTCTTTTAAACCATAATATCTGATGGGTTTTTTTTTTTTCTATGAAATGATTTTCACTAGATTTTTAATCCATGTATAATTTTTAATTTTTAAAAACATTTTCAATCCATATATAAACATAATATTTCTACTTTTGTTTTACTTTGTAGGGAGAAAATACATTCATGACGATCCAAATAATCCAGAAAAGCCTTATATTCCTTTGGAGACCTTTACCGTAAAACAAAAACGTTATTATCGGTTTAGAGTGACTAACGTTGGAGTCAGTTCAGCATTTGAAATTTCTATTGATGATGTATGCATTATATTATTAAATTAAAATTTATTTCTATCTCTTCGAGAACAAAAACATTATTCAGAATTTATCTTCATTTCATCTATTTAAGGGATGCAGTAAAAAGTTTTTCTTTCATTGAAATACTAGTATTTTTTACAACATGTGAGTTGTAGCATACGATTTTAGATAATTGAATGTCTTTAATTAATTTAATATCTAAAATTCATAAGGTTTGAATGTAACAATTAATCATTGTAAAATACGTTTGGGCTAATAGAAGTTGACAATTTAATTAAAACATATACGAGGGCTGTTCGGAAATTATTGAGATATTGTTTATATTCTTCTTTCTAATGAACGTTTTTCGGTGAAAATTTGCATATACGTTTGACAATCACTAAGAAGTAATAAAAACAAGAAATATTTTGAAAATATTTTATTTCATCTTTTCAATGGTATATAAATGTGTCAATGGTAGGGGTACCCGGCGCAGTCACGAAATCAGATATTGAAAATATGTAACACCAACGTTAAAACTCCCAGTGGACCCATAGTAAGAGCAAAAATAATCCAAATTATGTATATAATTTTTCAATTTAATTTTGACTTCATTTTGTGCAAGTTTTTTAGAAATTCGATCAGAAATACGGAGATCACTAAAAACTTTACGCGCGGTATAGCAATCTGATAACGACGACAAAACGGATTTTGACGTAAAGGCGGAGCAGCGAGCATACCTGAAATTTTGTGTAGCGGTATTGAGAACTCTTGTCCAGACTAAACGACCTGCTAAAACAATAACAATGCAATAAAACATGTCTAAGGGTTTATTTTTTTTATTGGAATATATTTTTTTCTTACAAATAATTCAACCAGAGTAAAAACAAAAGCTCCGGACGACCATCAATTATTACGGACTAAATAACGTTGACCCGCGTTTCATAACTCGGTACTGCATGATGCTAAGTCAACCTGTATTTGACACTTCGTGTATATTTTACACTGGGGTAGCAACAGCACACGTTTTATTTTTTGATTTTTTTAAAGAATCGTTTAAGAATTATAAGAGACAGTTTGATTTTTGAAATGTTATATGTAATGACAAAGAAAGTAGATTGAACGCTTCCTGATCATTTCACAATGAGAATATATCGGCTGACCTGACGTTAAAATGACGTATCGATGCTGCTCCAGGTCAATAGACATATGCTTGTTTATAATTTCACCGGAACTTATTTAATTATCGTATAAATTAGAAATTTTGCACAATTGTTTTATTTGTTCTTTAAAAAATGTTGACGAATTTTCATGAATTTATCTCTGTCCTTCATGGAGTAAAAGTAATTGTCTCAATAATTTTCGAACAGCCCTCGTACATGTACATAGACAATATGAGCTAGAGAAAATGATTTGTTACTTTTGCTTAATATTTTGATGTGTGGATGCAGTAATTATTTGCATCTATTTTTATAGCAAGTTTTAGATAAGAACAGGTTATAAATTTGAATTAAATGTAACAAACATTATCGACTCAAAAGCTGTTGCAAATAAATCTTTTTTTTTATTTACTTTGCAGCATACACTTATAATCGTAGCTTTTGACGGAAATGACGTAGAACCATTCAAAACAGATGTCGTCACTATATCTCCAGCTGAGAGGGTTGATTTCATTGTATATACTGGACGTCCGCTAAGTAATTACTACATCAACTTTATTACTGCTTCGACCAAATTTGCAACAGGGGTATGTTCACTAAATAAATAAAAATATCGTGTCAGGTGATTGGGGAGTTCTAATCAAATGAAATATTTTAAATGTTCTCTTATTTTATTTTACAAATAATAATTTTAAAAAATATGGTGTAATATTCATAGGAAATACTGTTTTCCTCAAATTCAGTGCAAATATTTAGAGAATTTAAATAATAAAGTTTTAGTTTTGCTTATAACTACCAATTATTTTTAGGGAAAGCTAAAATACAGACAACGTACATATGGAGTCTTAAATTACTTTGGTGTTAATAAGTATCTTACTCCTGTCGTACGTCACAGGGAATGTACAGATTTTTTGCCGTGTGTTGTAGTAAACCAAGTTTACGGGTATGATTTTTCTTTCTTTTTTTTCCCCATTCTTATTGTTTAATTTATAAGATTTTGTTATCTGAATTATGGAACATGAGGTCGATCATTATATTATACTGTATGTGTACATAACTAGATTATTCAAATTTTAGCGAACTAACTGTGTATTGAGTGGTTGACAAGATCATGAATTAGCGCCGAAGTACACCTGCGCCACATTCTGTATATATTAATGATTTAGAATTAGCATAGCCGCTAAAATTTGTAGCCCACTTTTTGGGTACACGTACAGGAATTCCAATTCTATAGATATACTTACTCAAAACCTTGACAAAGAATAATTTGAGGGACATCCTTTTTACGTTGTACAATGTGTATATAATACATTAAAAGATGGCTTTTAAAAGTTTAATTGTCTTTTTTCACTTCAAGACTCTATCCCGTGAACAAAAATACAATAAGTGTACCAATTACAAATCTGAAGTCAACTCCTTTGGCCTTAAAGAGGAACCCAGTCCCCCTTGTGGGGCCGAAGGATTCCAGACAGTTATTTTTCCTGAATTTCCACCTTGGGGGTAAGTGTTCCATCATATTTGACGATATATATTATCTTTAAACAAAATATTAATATTTTTTGGAGATGAAATTAGAATTTTTTTTGATGAGAAAGATCACTGGCCATATTTTCATTAATTAACCTTCTGTGTTCCGATTTTTCCTATATTTCACATCCCAAATTAGCAGTGGAGTGAAGGAAAGTATTTAATATATTTTAGCTTCCAGGCAAGGGTATATTTTTCCAATGGATTTAGGCATTGGATATATATATATATTTTTTACTACATGTAATATACATGTAAATGCAAGTACTGATCATATGACAAATATTATTTTTAATTATAGCTTTGTGAATTTTTTCTTCATAAAAACATGATTAGTAATCCTGCTATAGTTTATCTGTTTCTCTAAAATACACACGTATAGGGCTATGAAGACAAAGACAGCAACTTTTCCCGATACACAGCCAAGGGAATTACATGCAGTTGCTGTTGAGGGGGACAGTAAACTTATCATACTTCGAATAGTCAGAAAATAGGTGTTTTATTATTATACCTCAGCAGGCTTTACTTGATCCGAGATGAAACGCGAGTTAAATGAAATGCTGCTAGTGAATACATGTAGTTTTATGACTATTTCACCATCGGCGAACAGCACAAAAACTACACCACGGTAGGTGCTGTTAAGAAAAAAAAAAAAAAAAAAAAAAAAAAAAAAAAACAGCAGGTTAAAATTTTATAAAGAAAAAAAGCACAGATAAAATAATATTAATAAAAACATTTTTTACGGACTATTTGGACAAAAGCAAGTTCATTGTCCCCCTCGGGAGTAACTATTTCCCGCGGTTTTGCCTGGGGAAATCATTGCTGTCTTGGGGGGATACTAAACTTCTTGTTGAAAGCATAGCCAGTAAAAAGGTGTAAACTGTATGATAATTGTATTATCATAAATTGAGTATTGTAGAAATACTTCAAAAATGGTTCAAAATTTTAACACCTTTCGTTGTTTCATCTTTACGCAATCCCTGTGGTATAAATTTACATTTCTTTCTGTTTTATTTGTGAATACATACCTCAAATAAGTAAACATTTGGTTTCGATTTCAGACAGAGGACCACGTATCAATGGCATCAAATTTCGCAGACCGAGTTCAGCACTACAGGTAATGCTGCATAATTTAAAAAAAACCTAATAAAGCTTTTTTTTAGGTCACCTGAGTCACTATCCGTTTTCGTATGTCGCCGTGCGACGTGCGTTAACATTTGAACATTTTTAGCTTCTTCTCTGAAACCGCTTAACCAATTTCAACCAAATTTGGCATAAAGCATCTATGGGTGAAAGGGAACAAAAATTGTGAATTTCATGGGCCTGTTCCCCTGGGGTATGAGGGTTAGGGCTAAAACCACCAAAATTACTGCAATCTTCTTATTTACTCCTGGACATCAAGCAGTCAAACTGTTAACATGATTGTAATAAGCATTGATCCCTCTACCAAAATTGTGAATTTCATGGCCCCAGGGTCAGGGGTTCTGGTGCTAGGTCGAGGCTATATACATGTAGATCATATAGTGAAAATGCATTAATTCTTTGAAAATCTTCTTCTCTGCTCCTGGGTATTAAATAAACTAACTAAGTACATAGTTATGATACGCAAGATTGCCTCTTCTAAAACTGTGATTTTTATGGGCCCAGGGTCAAGGGTTCTTGTGAAAAGGGGGGGGGGGGGGGGCTCTATTGATTATATAGTGAAAATGCATTAATTCTTTGAAAATCTTTCTCTCTGTTCCTGGGTATTAAATAAAATAACCAAGTATAAACATGTAGTTATGATGAGCAAGAGTGCCTCTTCCAAATTGTGAAATTGATGGCCCAAGGATCAGGGGCTCTGGTGTTAGGGCAGGGCTCTATTGATTATATAGTGAAAATGCATTAATTCTTTGAAAATCTTCTTCTCTGCTCCTGGGTATTAAATAAAGTAACTAAGTACAAAGTTATGATGAGCAAGAGTGCCTCTTCCAAAATTGTGAATTTCATGGCCCCAGGGTCAGGGGTTCTGGTGTTACATGTAGGGCAGGGCTCTATTGATTATATAGTGAAAATGCATTAATTCTTTGAAAATCTTCTTCTCTGCTCCTAGGTATTAAATAAAGTAACTAAGTACATAGTTCTGATGAGCAAGAGTGCCTCTTCCAAAATTGTGAATTTCATGGCCCCAGGGTCAGGGGTTCTGGTATTAGGGCAGGGCTCTATTGATTATATAGTGAAAATGCATTAATTCTTTGAAAATCTTCTTCTCTGCTCCTGGATGTTATTTAAACAAACTAAGTACAAAGTTATGATACGCAAGATTGCCTCTTCCAAAATTTTGAATAACATGGCCCCAGGGTCAAGGGTTCTTTTGAAAACGCAGGGGGGGGGGGGGGCTCTATTGATTATATATTGAAAAGCAAAATTCTTTGAAAATATTCTTTTCTGCTTCTGGTTAAAAAGCAAAGAAGCTAAGTGCATAGTTATGATGAGCATGATTGCTTCTTCCATAGTAGTGAATTGCATGACCCCTGGGTCAGATGTGCTGGTGTAAGGGTGGGGCTCTTGATAATATAGTGAAAATGCATTAATTCTGTTAAATAATCCTGTCTGCTCTGTTAGTGTTAATCAGATAAACAAAGTGATTACTTACATGTATGATGAGCAAACGTCTGGTCCCAGGGTGAGAGGCTCTGATGTTTCTCGGCGGGGACGGGGGGTGGGGGAGGGGGGCTCTAAGCTCTATTGATAATATATTGAATCTGTAGTAAAAAATGCATTATTTCTTTGAAAATCTTCTCTGCACCTGGGCATATCAGGCAAAAAGAGTAAAAGTTTTAATAAAGATTTTTGAACATCTGGACCATTTTGTCAAGTGTCCTGGTCCTGGCCAGGGCACTATTAATTTGTATTCTACTGAGAGGAGTTATTCCAATTGCCATTTACTTTTGATAATTAGTCACTGTAAATAATGTACTTGAAAGGTTAATAGAATAAGAGAATTATGCAAGATTTTTTATCGTATAATACAAAAAGTACTTTCATCGTTTTAATGATCAGGTAGACTTGTAAGTAATCGATAAATAAAAATGAGACAAAAATAACTTGTCTTATTCAATGTTCATCAAAGACCAAGAGAGTCCAATGTAACAGATTTCAACAAGGAATTAAAATAGTACACAAGCACTGATAGTTTGTTATACTGTATGGTGATAGTGATAAATGGGGAACAGATTAGAACCTAATTTATAAACTGTTAATGAACACTAGACTAATTATTTTGTTGATCCTGATCACCATATTTTTCTTGCTTTTGGGCAACAAAGCTTAACCTTTCAGTTCATTTTATACTCTATGGACTATGGATCCTCTAAATTGTTGTATTATACTCAGGTGACCGTTAAGGCCCTTGGGCCTCTTGCTTAAATTTCCAATCATAACATATTACGGAATTAGTCGTTTTCGTATCACTGTAAAACACGCTTATAGCGAGCACGTTTATAATGAATTCACGTTTACAGTGACGTACGTTATCTTCGTTCCTTGTGGTTTTGAAACGTATTAGGAACTTAAGGAATTTTAAAAAGCTAAAATGAATATCGTTTATAACAAAGCAACATTGTTTGTCCCTGACACTTCACTATTTTTTTACTGTACGAGTAGCATGTGAACTCCATTATTCGTCATTTCAGACCTACCCAGGACCAGACGCTATTGTTCCTTGTGGAGCTGACACTTGTACCGAGAAAGACTGCAAATGCACGCATATGCTAAAACTCGGACTAGGAAATATAATCGATTTTGTTCTCTTCTCTTTTAGTAAGAACATTTCAAGAATGAAAAATAGTTTGAATCCATGAAAATGTAATGTTTGATCTCTATAAGCATTAGCTTTGTCATTTAATTTCCAGGTGACAGAAAGGCTGCCCATCCAGTTCATTTACATGGGCATCATTTTCATGTCCTTAAAATTGGATATCCTCCATATGATTTCAAAACCGGAAATGCCACCGCACGAAATCCAGATATTACATGCTTTGATGAGCTTTGCACAAAAGCAACATGGACGGATCCCTCATGGAATACTGAAAAAATCCCTGGCTTAAACCTAGTTAACCCCCCTATCAGAGATACAGTCGTTGTTCCCGCCAATGGTTACGTCATAATAAGACTGAAAGCTGATAACCCTGGTAATTATACTTGTATAACCATTTGTTAAATCAAGGGCGTATTCAAGATTTTTTTTTTGGGGGGGGGGCTAAATTTTTTTTAATAATAACAACAGAAATTCACAACCAGCTGAATAACATGTCTTATTGACACTTTGTTAGTATGGTTTGGGAGGGTTCTCCCCTCCTTTAAACCTGCCACTAGACGCACTTAAAACCAAAATACTTATTTGTGTGATGTATTTGTACACATATATTTTTGTAGGATTTTGGTTTATGCACTGTCATTTTGGACATCATCAGACTCAAGGCATGAACTTGATTATGCAAGAAGGAAATATTGCGGATATGCCCAAACTTCCACCGAATTTTCCTACATGTAACAACTTCCTGGTCAACCCTGAACAATGGCTGATGGCTCTGAAGAGAGAAGAAGCGAAACGAAAGTCACTGGGCTGCGAATATTGAATTCAAAAATTCTATTTGCATGATAAATGAAGAAAAAAACAACAACATCATTCTAGATACTTTAAGAGTGATCGAATTTTGATTTGCATTCAATTGGAGGAGGTCATATATGATAAAAACATTATGGAAAAAGATTTAGTTGTTTATATATGATATAAATTTCCTCTCCTTAGAATGTTGGTCCAGGTAAGTCTAAGGCTACCTTGACTGAGGCTTTTGACGCATTCAAAGAACGATCAGATCATTACAAAACTGCATTACAAAACTATGACAGGAGAGTTAATATTGTAGAAGATACTTAACTGGTCTTGACTCCTTTTCAATCTGAGCTTTTAACCATGTCCTTAAACCCGAACGAAACATCTTTTTGTCAAGATATCCCCGTGTAAATTCGGGTTGACGTTGGTTCCCTTTCTTTTTTGTATATAAAGGGATCTTGTAAAATCAAACATAGTACTGGTATGTTACCGGCCCCTGTTGCTTGTATCAAGGATTTAAAACCCGATTCCAGTCAGCTGATTTCAATGCATCTCTGGAATTTGAAGGACAGACTTAGTGCTATTGAGCAGTTCTCTCTCCTGAGGCGATAGAAGCAAAATATCCACACTCAATTTGATCACGGAGAATGCAAAAACAATTAATGAAAGAAAGAAAAAAAATAGAGTCCTGAAAAAAGCCATTTTTTTTTTTAAAGTGGTTATTTATTTTTGTGTTCTCAATATCAATATTAGTGTCACGTAATATTTTTTTTAAAAGTTGCATGGTAATTCCAACTTTAAGGTGTAATGTCCCTCTGATAAGAGAGATAATTTTCGAAGGAAATTATTCCAAGCAATCCGATGAATTGTCTTACCAGAGGTTATATATTTATGAGGACCATTATGTAGTCGATTCAATCAAAACTGAACTATCTTACAAATATTGAATTCTTTTTCTTTTGCCTATATTTTTATTGATAACTTATAATAGTTTACCTAAAATATTTATAATCAGCTCTTTTAAACTGTTAAATTGAGATCTCTTAACATATAATTCTCTTAATTGTTACAGGAATTTTAGATGCAAAATTTTTATAATCAATTACTAGTAATTAATATTTTTTTCTCTTAAAAAAATTTGTGAAGAAAGATAACTTCTGAAGGTGGAATGATAACTCTTGTAGATAGATGCATTTTTATTTTGCAAGCACAGAAAAGAATGATATAATCTGATTTAAAATGCAAAGCTTCATTATGCTAACGTTTTCTAATATGAATTAAATAGGTATGGCAGAAAATGGTATTTTCATTTATACCTCATATTTTTAATTTTATGCAGAGATAAAAATTATTATTAAATTATTAAATTTGTTATTCACCATATAAAATTTTCTTCATGTCATGATTAGACTTAATATTCATTTCTGAAGAGTAAGCAACGCTTCATACTTCAAACTGTTCCATTTGAATCTAATGCTATTGTTGTTGATGAAAATCAATGGTGGGGATTTTAAAAAAATGTGAAATTTAGAGCAGAGGGATATTTCACCTTAAAATTGTCTTTCCCAGCTTTAAAGTCGGGGATTTCATTATTAATCTTTGCTTTTCCAACTGTAATTTGAGCATGTTTAGCCATTTTCCTTAGCCTTTTTTTTCCTTTATCGTAAATTATTATCAACTTTATTAATGCAAAATTAATACACTAGAATAGTTTGGAGTGCAATTAATCTGTGTCAATTATTTTTTACCCTGACCTTCCCTGTGACCTTGCGTTTAACTTACAACTTTTTATTAAAAACCTTTTTCCTTTTGGTCCATCTTATATAACTATATAGAGAATAACTTCATACGAGGGTTAATAGGAAAGTTCGTGGACTTCTGTCATATCTTTTATATTTAACGTCATATTATATCCAAATTTGTTAGAAATATTTTAACAATAAATTCAAATGACTCGCATTGAAAAATTTTAAAATATCTTGATTTATTTCAAACTTATTAGGAGTTAAAAACTACAAAAATTAGTTTGCGGAGCGAGTCAAAAGTTAGAAATTTACAAACATTACACTAATTAATTTCTGTAGTCATATCCTCTGTAAAATGGCTGAAAATCAAAACAAATCTAGGCCATCAAATTAAGAATTATTACATCGTTTCATATTCCAAATTATGACTTAATAGTTTACTTCATGGAAAAGAAATCAATTTTTGAAGATAGGTAGTTCCCATTGAAAAAGGTGATGGCGTAGAACGTCACGGAGCAGCAGTTCACGATACAATTTTCTGTTGTACTCTGGAAAACGTCAGAATAAAATCTAAAAATGTTGTAAGAAACATGAAATATCTCAAAAGTGGTTCATGCATATGTGTGTGTAAATGGCCCAGGCGGTATTTGAATGATAGAGACTCTCTATCAAACGAGGACTATCTGTGAGAAAACGGATTATCTGTAAACAATCAACCCAAAAACGTTCAGTTAGTAACGTCTTGGAAAGAGAAAGATGTTTCACGGTTGCTGGTCTTGTGAAAGCATAGTTAAGCGGTAAAAAACAAGCATTGACAATCAAAATTATGCTACTGGAACAATTGTTAACAAATAAATTTCAATTGATAGAGACACGTTTTAAATGAGCAGATATTGGCCAGACTGTGTGAAATGTATAGGGGGAATATTTTGAGAACCTCATGACGCTATATTTTTGACGTTATAATATTATTTAGTTTGCACCGGGGTTACCAAACATGCTGATTTTAAAGTAAATTAAATTAATTTCTATTAAATCTAATGGAATGAAACTTCACACATCAACAAAATAAATATTTTTACATATGATAATGCGCTTATATTAAATTTCTTGAAAGTAGTAAAACGAGGATTGACATTGTCCACGAACTTTTCGAACAACCCTCGTACAACTGCGTACATGAAAGGATTTCAACCAAACCTATTTAAGAGATCATATATATATATTTTGTTTTATATGAGAGATAAGCTTAAACAGATGAGACTATTATTAGGTGTTTGAGATATAGGATGAGTCAACACTATAATACATGTTACAAATACAACAGAACTAAATGTATCAATTCTGTTTATGAAAACACGATGAAGCAATTCATTCTTTCATCATAATTTCGTAATTAACAGCTGATTAAATCGTCTCTTTCCATTGTAATTACATGTAAAAAAAAAGGCAACACGAATCCAGCTGCAAAGTATCTGAATACAATGCCTAAAGCCATACAAAGATGTAAAAGCAGAGATTAAAGTTGGAAAAGCCAAGATTAAAGTTGGAATTACAAAGTTAACTTTAAAGTTGGGATGCCAAGATTAAAGTTGGAATTACTATATTTAAAGTTGGAAAAGCCAAGATTAAAGTTGGAATTACCATCTTTAAAGTTGAAAAAGCCAAGAATAAAGTTGGAATTACTATCTTTGAAGTTCGAAAAGCCAGGATTGATGTTGGAAAACCAAGATTAAAGTTGGAATTACCAATTTAAAAGTCGAAAATACCAAATTTAAAGTTGGAAAAGCCAAGATTAAAGTTGGAATTACAAACTCTGAAGTCGAAAAAACCAACTTTATAGTTGGAAAAGCCAAGATTAAAGTTGGAATTACAAACTTTAAAGTTAGGGAATTTCCAACTTTAGAGTTGGAAAAGCCAATTTTAAGTGGGAAAAGCCAGCTGTAAAGTTGTAATTACCATTTTTAAAAAATATTACATGGCATTGATACGCTTACGTAATCAAAGATAATTGTGTCACTCTTTTTTTTCAGCATCCGAACACAGTCATTGCATGTTTGTTTGCTGTTCTTAAGAATATTATAGTTATATATTAAACAAAATAATGTCATATTAAAAGGAGATCAGCCAACAAACGAGCCCTCATACTTAATTTGCCCCCCCCCCAAAAAAAAAAACAAAAAAAAAACAAAAAACATATATATGTTAAAAACATTTTTTTCCTTCCATTTTAAAACTTTTTTTATCCTTGATTGTAGCTCTACTGACCTGATGCATATCATAATTCAACAGTTGTGTCCATCTGCAAGTGATGACTCTACTTGTGGATACAATAATTATTCTAACAGGTGACTTCGATCTTATTTGAAATTGAGGGCGTGTTTGGTTGGTCTGCCATTTGCAGAATGAAAATTTATATCTGTTGTGATCGTTTTGTTATTTTTTTGTCCTTGTAATAGTTGTAACTGGATTTTTTTTTTTAAATTTCAAATTGATGTGTCTGTAATTATTGTAAATTGAAATATGTTCAAATTTCTTGGGTTTTATAACCCCCCCCCCCTTTCTACTCATCTGATTAGATTAGTTTGGAAGAACATGAACATAACAAAAGTTTGAGTTGAAATGAAATATTTTATAATTACAATCAATGAATTAGATATTAAGCTGATACCCATGTGTATCCACTTGCATTTGTGTAGAGGGGCAGCTGGCAAAGCCATATTTTCCCGATCAACATTAACATTTGCAGGTAGAAAAAGAGAGTATTTCTTGCAATAAATACAACAAAATCAACAAAATGAGTGGAGATTATTTCCATGCATTGTAAAATATCAATAAATTTATAAGAGAGAGGGAGAGAGAGAGAGAGAGAGAGAGAGAGAGAGAGAGAGAGAGAGAGAGAATGCCAAAATGACACTTATCGATATCCCCGCCTCTTATAATGAAATATGAAGATAAAGACAGTATTCAATCTTGAAAGTCCAATGAAACGATACAAATAGAGCAGAGCAATTACGGACCTCAAAATTTAGAGGTGGGATTAGGTGCAATGGAGGAGTGAAATTCCCTTCCGACCGGTCACATCCACCGTGTGCTCCTGTCATGATCGGGAAAAAAAAACGGAAAAAATCCGTAGACAGTTATGGCCTAACAATTAGTATGAAAAACATCGGTCAGCATTTGACTTAATGATAGGTAGTATGTGCTGACAAGGCATTGTTTCGATCGTAAAAGTTGCGAAATGATTATTTCAAACGACACTGTTGATATCCTTGTTTCACCAACTTGTTTTCAGTTATTTGCCTCATTTCAGAAATTGTACATACATAGAACATGCTCTTGCGTATCGAATCAGCTGAGAGATATAATCCCGTATGCAGGTGATGATTGTATATTGCCGCATAAGTAA